CGCGCCGGCCCGGGACCCGCGGGCGGTGCTGGGGCCCGCCCGGGCCAGGGGCATCCGTGGTGGCTGCTGAGCCAAGCTGTCAGTCAGGCTGCGAAGCAGCTGCCGTCCTGCCGGTGTTTGAGGGACTTGGCGGGGAGCTTTCCATATCCCTTCAGATGATTTAATGCCTCAGCATCTCAGGATGGTAATTACATTTGACAGGACAGGCCGAGTCGCACAGATCTGTCATGCAGCCGGAGATCGGTCTGGGACGCGGGCCAGGGCTTCGGCTACCGTGCCCTGCGCCTTCCCCCGTCCGTGTGCTGCTTTGGCCAGACAGCGGGGGCTCGGCCTTCGGGGCCAATTCTGCTGCGAGCCCGGAGGGGAGGATGTAGGGACGCACCTTCCCGCCGGCGCGGCTGGGAGGCCTCCAGGCCAGGAAGCGAGGAGACGCCCCTCGTCCCGCCATGCACGGCCCCCTCCCAGGGTGGGCGGGTGGCCAGCTGGTCAGGCCTGCAGGTTAGACACTTGCCAGCGCACAGGCCAGCCGCCCCCAGGCACGCACCAAGCTGCTCTGCGCTAGGGGCTGCACGGCGCTCACCTCTGTGCCTGGGGTCTCAGCACGTCCTGGGCGCGAGGGACAGCGGGACCGCCCGAGAGCCTGCCTGCAGCTGGGGGCTCCTGCACGGGACACGGCTGCACTGTGTGCGGACAGGGGCTGCGGTGCAGCTGCTCAGCCAGGGGGGAGCGGCAACCAGCAGCTTTGGCTTTGGGACGTGGGGCCAGGCCTGTGGCAGCCGCTTACGCTCGGGGGCGGAAGGAGCCGGGCTGGGAGGTGTTGCTCGGCCCAGGAGAAGCTCGTGTGACCTCGAGGCTCGGCTCAGCCTCGTGGGCACAGCGCTGAGCTGAGACTCGAGGTCTGGGCTCAGTTCACTGGACCGTGGGGAGGCTGCGCTGTCTCTGGACCTCATCCTGATCAGTAACTCTGTGTGTGTGCGCGCGTGTGCGCAGGGGGCGTCACCTTCCACGCTGGTGGGGGCACAGGGACTGGCTGGGCAGATCTGGGGTTGGCGTGCCTGGGCTGATGGGCCTGAGCTGGGCCGTGCCTGAGCAGTGGCGTGGGCTGGACAGGGGAGTCCTGTGCCACGGCGGGGCTGGGGGTCACGGTGCCCAGCAGCAGTGGCCTGGGGCAGGGGCACTGCCTGGCACGCTGGTCACTGCATTGTGCTTCTTGGCGCCTTGTAATGAAATGTAAATATGCAGCTGGGATTTAGGTCTCTGGTTCTGGGGAGCGTTGGAAGCCGCGCTGTCGTTCGTGTGGGATTTGAGCGGCGTGTGCGCGAGCCCAGCCTGCCGCGGGCCGCCAGCGGGTGCGGCGGCCGAGTCACGCCTGCGGCTCCTGTGCGGCTGCCCGGCTGGGGGGCAGGCCCCTGATAGTGCAGGCGGGGCGGGGGTGGCTCAGTCTGCATATGGGCCTTGCCTGCTGCGGGGAGGCTGGGCTGGGAGCAGCTGGGGAGCGGGAGGCGAGCGGGTGATTCCCTCCGGCTGCTCGGGGGTGGGCGCTGCGGGAACACACTGTGCTGGAGCAGGGGAAGCCAGCTGCGTGGCGCTCCCCGCACCCGCCCTCGCCGGCAGGGCACAGGCCTGGCTGGGAAGGCAGATCTGCTCTGCCTTGTCTGCCAAGCAGCCCGGGGTGAGGATTCCCCCTGGCCAGGTGTGAGGACCTTTCCCTTGGCCAGGACCTAGGTCACCCTCAGCACTGCCACTGCCTGCCCTGGCACTAGGTGCCTTCCCCACCCCCCAGCTCTCCACACCGGGTGCAGCACAGGACTTGCCTGGTTCAGACGTGCAGGCCTGGGCAGTGCCCTGAACATGGCCCAGTGCTTGACCAGGGCACCCTGCCGGGGGGGGCACGTGGGTGAGCTCTGTTGCAACTGAGATGCGGGAATGGGTCTGGAGTTAGGCCAGCGGGATAGACGGGACTTGCCGCTTGGGCTGGAGGCAGCAGTGCCGACCTGGCCCTGGGACCCTGAAGCCTGGAGGGGCGGGCAGCCCAGCGACCAGCTTGGGCCCAGGATGGATGCCCGGCTGTGAGCGCCTGGTGCTGCAGCATGGGGGCTGGGGAGGGTCCCAGGGGCCATCCAGGAAGGGCCAGCCCTAATGGGGCCTGAGCTGTGGGCTCCCCTGTTTGGCTGTGTGCAGAGAGCCCAGATGCCAGCACATGGCCTCATGCCCCATGGGAGGTGCGGGGTGTTCGTGCCCAGGCTTCACTCACCATCTGCGCTTGGCCAGTCTCAAGCTAATCGCCCCCGCTGCCGCCCTCCCCCGGCATAGTGCCCTGTGGTGGGAGGTCCAGGGGAGCCCCTGCAGCCAGCAGCAGCCCTGAGCCGGTTGGAGGGCAGGCGCCAGACCTCCTGGCGCCGGGGGCCGCACGGGCTGACTCCAGGAGCTGGGCTCCCTGCCCCGCTGGCGCCCGGGCACTGGCTGTGGGGGACAGCAACCCACCTCGTGCACTCAACCTGGGCTCCCTCTCTCTCCTAGTGGCCCTGCAGATGCCGGAAGGTCTCCTCATGTTTGCCTGCACCATCGCCGACATCATTGAGAGGTAAGGGGTGGGCAGGCGGGTGGCCTCCGCCCTGCCCTGCGCCCTCGGGATTGCTGAGCCTGGGGCTGGCTCCAGCCCTGCCCTGGGGCCGCATGTGCACGGAGATTGCTCCTGGCCCTGGGCGGTCAGCTGCCACCCTGCCCAGGGGATTAGCTGGCTCTGCTCGTTAGCAGGGCTGCTCACCCAGAGAGCTCATTAGCGGCCACGCGTCTCCAGCCACGTGAGTGGAGGACTCAGCCAGGGATGGGCGCGGGGCTGCCCAATCTCAGCTGCTCGTGCCAGCCTGCCAGCCTGGGGCACGTGGCTCCCGGCTGTGTTCGCCACGTGCGGGAGGACGGGGCAAGTGCATGGGGCTGGCAGTGCTGTTGTGGGCGCTGCCTTCAGCTGGCAAATGGGTGAGACTGGGGCAGGAACAGGAGGAGCCGGGGAAGTCCCTGAGCCGGGGTGTGTGCTCAGAGCATGGGGAGCATCTCTGGGAGCACTGGGGGGACAAGGGCAGACTGGCCTAGTGGTGCCTCCCGGAGCAGCTCCCCCCTTGGTGCCCTGGTCACTGCTCCCCCGGGTGCGTGGGAGAGCGTGGGAGGGGGCCGGTCTTGGTAGTGGGCTCATCTGGGACTGGCTTCTGCGCGCGGGCCCCCAGGCCGGGCTCCCCCTGCACCCCGGGTCTCGGGTGGGGAGGGGGAGTGCTGGGCCTCTGGTGTGCTGGTAGAGAAGCCCTTTGCCCTAGTGCCCCTGCTGTGGCCTGTCCTGCAGCGCCAGGCAGCTGCTGGCCTGGGGCGTGGCGGGTTGCGCGGCGGTGCCGGGGGCTGCGCCTGAGCTTGCACGTTCCCGGCCGTGTGCGCACGGCTGGCGCTGCTTGTCTCCCTGCAGAGCCTCGGGGCATCGCTGACTTTTGCAGCGCTGCACACAGCCGGTGCGGGAGGCTGCCCGGCAGCGCTCAGCCGTGCGTGGGGCCAGCTGCCTCCTTGCCCGCGCCTCGCAGGGCAGCCAGCTCCTTCGGGAGTGGCCTTGTCCCCGCTGGGGGAGGTGTCAGGGCTGGAGGTGGGTCCTGGGGATCTGCCGGGGCCAGAGGCTGCGTGGCAAGCCAGAGACAGTGGGAGCCCGCAGGCAAGGCAGGGCCCTGCTGCCTGTCCTCCGCAGGGGATGGGTGTGGGCAGCTGGCTCTTGTAGCCTGCCTCTTCCCTCCCGCGGCACGTCCATCAGTGGGAGCAGCCAGGGCTGCTGTGGGGCCGAGCTTGGGAATCGCTGCCCCATGCGCAGCCCAGGCTCTGCGGGAGGCCAAGCCCGTCCTGGGCCATGGTGAGGGTGCCCGAGGTGGAGTCCAGGGTCAGCATGTGCTGCCGCGGTGCCTGCAGCTGTAGCGCTGTCCCCGGGGCAGCTGCAGCTCAGTCGAGCCAGGAGCCCTGGAGCGGTTTCCCCTGTTCACCCTGCCCTGCAGGAGGGTGGGAGCGGGACCAAGGGCAGGTGCACCAGGCCCCTGGCAGGATCTGCACTCATCTCTTTACCGCCGCACTTCCTCCTCTCCGCTCCTCGGCCCTCGGCCCCTCCTGCTTTCACACAGCGAATTAGCACTAATAGTGCTGTGCGCTGCGTGCCAGTGGGGTCACAACACCCATTAGCATACTGTCTTGCTGGTGCAACCGGGTTCTGGCAGCACCCGCTGCCCTTCCCAGCGGCTGGGAGCTGAGCAGCTGCTGTGTCAGCACCAGCCGGGAGCTAGGGCCTCTGTGCTTGGTCCCCAGCCCTGCTGCTGCCTTGCCAGGCAGTCTTGGGCAAGTAAGTCCCTTGCCCTGCCTGGCTGCGGGGAGACTGTGGTGTCTCCTACCTGCCACCCCCAGTGCTCGTGAGTCAGGGCAGCAGCAACGAGGAGCTTGGTGGGGGGGTGGAGGGAGCTTCTTGGTCCAGCAGGATAAGGCCCATCCATCCCCCTGTCCTCCCACCCACCCCTGCCCTGGGGCTGGTACCTGCGCTGCGGGGCCTTTGGTCCTGGTCAAGCCTCTGTGGGCCTCTGGTTGGGGAGGCCAGGGCGGCAGCAGCTAGCGGGGCCTGGCGTCGGCCTGCTGCCGCATGTGGGCATCGGGTGGCAGCATTGCCAGGCCGCCTGTGCCTTTAAGAGCCTGCCGTTCCCCTGCTTGGCTGGAGCCTCTTTCATGTCTCAGACTTCAAAGGCAGCAGATTAAGGGGATTCTTTTATCTGAATGGAACCATGAGTGGCGGTGGCGGCAGTCCTGCCTGCTGCAGCGCTGGCTCCTCCGGCCCCTCTCCCGGGGCGCTGTGTGTGTGTGCGCACGCCCGCGCCCGGCTGGGGTGCCCGGGGCCCTGCCCCGCTCGTTGGGGCAGAGGCCATGGAAGGTAGACAGGGCGACGAGCAGTGGGAACGGGGAACTTTCAGTGGTGGGAAGTGGGCGCAGACTTGCCCCAGGGTGCGGCCAGCAGTGCCCCCCAGCCTGGCTGTGGCTCCGCTTGCTGAGAGTCCTGGCCAGCCAGGGCCCTGTGCCGGAAGCAGGAGCTTGGGAGGGAGAAGAGGACTGGGTGGGTGGTGGGTGCTGGCCAGTCGCTGTGCTGGGGATGGAGTTGGCAATGCTCATCCCAGTGAGGGGCACTGGTGGGGGTGGGGGCAGGGCTGTGCTGCATTGGTTTTTCCTGCCTCTCGCTGCTTCTGCACTGGCTGCGAGGCGCTTTGGGCTGGCGCGTGTGCCTGCTGGGCGCAAGGAGGGTGGTGGTGTTGGGTAGCACAAGGGCAGGTCTTGCTTGGGCAGGGCAGAGGAGGTGGCTGGCCCTGGCCTTGGCTGCACAAGTGCCTGGCGCGCTACAGCCGTTGCCCGCGCCTGCATGGGTTGGGCAGGCCCTGTGCCTGCTGCGTCCAGCTGTGGAGGATGGTTGGCCCTGCCCAAGGCGCGGTCTGCTGCCCGCAGGCTCCAGGCTGCCTCTCCAGGGGCCTGGGCAAGGCTGGGCTGCAGCTCCGGGCACCTGGTCCCCGAGCCAGTTCCCCGGCAGGGCAGGGGGGCATTGGCCGACGGGCATGTGCCTGCTGAGGTCTGCTGGGAGAGGGCAGGATGGGCTGTGGCATTCACCCGTTCCTGCTCCTTGCACCCTGCGGCCCCCTGGGACCGGATTAAATTGCCGCAGGTGAGGGGTTAGATCGACAGGGTCTGTTCCCAGCCTCGTTAGCGCTGACTCTTCTACCATTAATATTTATAGTCGGTGTTCACGTGGTGGCTGCCTTTGATGGTCCTTCCTCCCCCCACCACAACTGCAGGGCTGGGAGGAGCCCGGGCAGCTCTGGACGTGACTGGAATGGTCCCTGGCACCACGTGGCACCTGGGTCCCGTGTGGGGCAAGCAGCCCTCTGCCTCCCCTGGCCCCAGGGTAGGTGTCTGGGACCAGCCCGCGGAGCTGCAGCCTCGGCCCCCCTGGAGGCGCCTGCCTGCTGGGCTGGGGAGGTGGGGAATCGTCCTCCCCAGCAGCGGGTGGGAGGCGTCTGGCTGAGCCGTGGAGTGGGCAGTGGTGAGAGCGGGGCTGGCCGCCCCTCTCCAGCTGCTGGAGCTGTGACAAGAGGGAGGTGGGAGCCCTGCCAGGCGCTGCCGGGACCCCGCACGCTTGGCGTCACTGCCCGGCGCGGGGCCAGGCAGGAGGCGGAGGTTTGGGGGTGCCGCTTGCTGGCTGGGCAGCGCAGGGGCTGCCAGGGCCTCGTGCCTGACTTGGCTCCTTCTGTAACCCCGCTTGCCCCTGCCTTGTAGTCGGTGATTGTGATTCTCCGCGGCACTGCCGGGATCCCGGGGCCTCTCTGCCCAAGCCGCCTGCGCTCCCCCTCCTGCACTTTAATATTTATCGCTCTTCCAGAGATGGCTGCTGCTACGGTATGCACCCTGCAGCCTGGCCGCGGCAGTGCCGGGAGTAGTGGGGACTCACCAGGGACCCCCGCCTCCTGCCCGGCTGGCTGGCTGGCTGGCACCATGCGTCGTGTCAGCTCCCCACCTAGGCTACAGGGACCTGGGGGAGCTTCTGTCCCCCGGTGCCCTCCTGTTGCTGGCATCTCCCTGCCCTGGGAGCCTCGTGGCTCGGTGGCTCGGTGGGGCATGGCTGGGCCCTCCATTCGCCCTCTTCCCTGTCCCATCACCGCCCAGGGCACCACTCGGTGCCCGCGCCGCAGCCCCGTGGACCTTGTGCCGCTGTGGAGCCGGGTCTGGTGCCTGTCAGGGAGAGGAGCCGTGGGGCCAGGAGCACGTGGGCCCAAGGGTCTGTCGCAGCGCTGCAGCAGGAGCCATCACCAGTGTGATCAAAGGCTTCCCTCATACAGCACCGCACCACGAGAGGTGAAAGCTGATAAGAAGGGCGATGACAGTGAAAACTGAATCAGGAGATCCGGAGCGGGCGTGTGTGGGGAGGCAGCATCTTGCTGGGGCCGGGGCCCCGAGTTCCCAGCTGTGGCAGGGCCCGGTGCTACGCGGTCACAGGGCTGGCAGCCCCCAGGCTCCTCCAAAAGACCTCAGCCTCGCTGGGTGGGCTCCTGCAGTGCCCCTGCACTCGGGCAGGGCTCTGGGGCCTTGTCCCTGGGCACCCAGTGCAGCCCCCCAGGGGCCATGAGCTGGGCGAGCGGGAGGTGAGGCAGCCCCGTGCTGTGTGATGTGCACGGTGAGGCTGGGGGAGCAGCGAGTCCCCCACCAGCGGCCTGCGCGGGGAGTGGTGCCCACCGGTGGGAAGGGACTGGGCTTTGCGGGGGACGGGGGTGCTGGGGGCTGGCCAGGCAGACCGCTCTGAGGCTGCCTGGGCTGTGAAACCCCCCTGGGCCCCTGCAGCTGCCCTCCATGGGGTCCCGGCCCACGGCTGAGTGGAGCCGCACCGAGGGAGTTGGGGAGCTGCCTCTGGCACAGCTCCTTTGCAATGGAGAGCAGGCGCATGGCATTGATCGGCGTGAGGCCTCGTTAATTAGCGCTAATCGGTTTGTCTTTATCCACTCTGTAAAGAAACCTGCTCTCCGTGCCGCCACTGAGTGGCAG